GGATATCTTGTTGATCAACCCTTATCTGTGGTTATTTTATTCTAGTGTAACTTGATTAAACAGCATTTAATACTAAATGTATTTCAATGAAATAAGCTTATATCTGATATTAATTTTAGTACAATGATTTGTTCTTTATCTACTATTCAACATTCAAAATGAGTACATTTAGATAATAATTTTTACTATAAAATATGTGGAAAATCTATATCAGTTAATTTACATAATAATAATAACAGAATCATATTACCCAGTAGTAATTTAAATCGATTGAAATTGTTGGAATCATGCAGAGTGACAAGTGTAATACATTACAGTATTGCACATATTATAAAAAAATTGAAGGTTCCTTTTTTTGACCATTCAGCTTTCAGGTTATACGTCCTCGCAGCTGTTACTCTCCTGTGCATTATTTGTGGATGGAGAGATTGTATTTGAACGAAATAAATAAGGTGAAATACCTTAAAAACCAACTAGTGAATTTAGTACCTATTCGAGTACCTAAGTAACCTAACCTATTCGACGAGTACATGCTAGTGTTTAGTGTTTGTTGTCTGTGCGATCCAGTCGTTTACCAGTTATTTAACTTGTTCATTTTTATTATAATTTGATAAAATGTCTTATAAATATAAAGATACTCAGAGTCAGAGTAAAAATATTATACATAGTGTGTATATGTTTTCAAAAAATGTATCAAACAAATCCGATTTGAAAGCCGACTTTTTTAAATGTACTTAAGGGATTACAGTTTAAGCTTGTGGAATTTCGGTTCAAATCGTAAGCCGCATTTGTTCCGAAGCAAAAAAGTCCGTAAATACACAAGTAATTGACGTTCGATGTTTTAAATCTCCGCGTAAATCATATAAAACAAAAATTCGAATAGAGTTGGACGATTTTGATGCAGACATTGTCAGAAGAATTATTCATGGCTCTTATGATAGAGGTGAGTACCCGACTGTCACTTCAATCGCAAATACTTACAGAGAAAAAAATAATACACAGGAAGTGTCAGGTCAATGCAAAGAATTCTTAAAATTTTTAATTTTTCTCTGAAGAAGTGTAATGACGAACGTAAATTTCTTATGGAGAGTACAGACATAGTTGCTCTACGATGTACATTCCATAGAAAAATGTGCACACTGCTTAAAAATGAGGATAGTCGCCCTGTCATGTCGTTTATGTCCATGATACTTGGGTTAACCAAACTCATGTGAAATCCATTATTTGGTAGTATGACGAAGGTACGGAAGGTTTAAAAGTCCCAATTGGCAAGTAAGGTCGACTGATTGTTTGTCACGCAGGATGCGCTCGTTATGGTTTTATTAAAGATTATTTATTAATTTTATAACGTATTTATTTATATTAAACACATCTAGTTAATTATTATTTTATGCAATAAAGGATACAGATTTTATACAATAATAATTTCAACTATGATAATTTTTTTCTTCATTTTTCAAATCTATCTTTTGGACGTGGTTTAGTGAATTATGTCTGCATACTGTTCTTCCCTGTCATTTTATCAATGAACTGTATATATATATACATACTCTATCCAGCAAGAGAACTCGCCGCACACCGACCAAATCAGGTTCCCTCACGTGACACCCTACCATAGGTGAACCAGATTTCATTTCAGGGTGACACGGGATGCGCAAAACCGGCGCGTTCTCTCGCTGGACAAAGTATAGTAACAAAACGTTTTCATCAAAATTCTCCCCGGCGAAGAAGTAAAAGACGTCTAGTTCATTTGTACAACTTAGATTTTCACAAGTCGACTCTCACTTTGTTTGTCCACGTATAATGTTGGTTGTTCACACATTACAACATTGCAGATTTCCTTGACTAATCTTTTGATTCAAACCAATTCTTTGACTGTTTCAAATGCCGAAACATATTAAGCTTCGGTTGAGCTGAGTGTTACTATTAAATCAGTGTTTGGAAAGTTCACTAAAAAAATTAATTAGTTCTAATCGATGAAAAATTACTGAACTATATTATAATAAGAACATATTATGATATAACATAAATAATCAGTGTATTTTAAACATAAATTAATTAAATGCCAAATAAATTGAGTGTCTTAAAAATCGTTCAAATTCATTAAAATGTAAACGTTTTTTATATTCACATTCGATTTGAATAAAAAGAGTGGCCTTCACGTATCGATTACTAAGTATGAACATAAACGTGTGAACGTGCTTTTATGGACAACGTTCTTTTCAAGCACTGATTTTAATTGCCTCTGAGCTTACCATAACTCTTTTGACAGTCCTAACATAAACAGATTATCTGAAGTCTCTAGACCCAATTCATTATCAGAATCTGAATACACGCTTAAACACTGATTTACGTTAGATTTATGATATAGACGATCGAATTTGTTGAAGTAAATGTAAACTTCCTGCTGACTTTTGTTCCTAAATACTGAGATGTGTTTTGCACATTTCAAAGCATTTTCAAAAATATTAAATGTTGAAATTGTTCACTGTCCGCTGAAACAAAAGTTCGTTTTTGACAGTTAGCATCAGCATTATTCAAGTGGTTTATCGAGCTTTAACATCTAGTTCTAATTTGGTCGTTAGTTTCTTTTTAAGTCTTTGTTTTTCTAAAACTAAGCTTTTTCTACTCTCTCGTAATTATTAACCTTCATTAAAGTGAGTTGAGAATATGACTTTCGTTTGAAATTTTCACAAGTATGTATCTACCTACGGTATGGTTATTTTATAATAATATATAATAAATTGAGTGTAAAATTCATTAAAATGTAAACATCGGTTACGTTCACGTTCAATTTGAACAAAAAGAGTGGCGTTCATGTATCGATTACTAAGTATGATCATGAACGTGTGAACGTGTAAAGCTATCTGATTATCTAATTGCCTCTGAGCTTAACATAACTCTATTCCTAACATGAACAGTTCACCTGAAGTTGAACGTCTCGCCTCTAGGCCCGATTCATTACTAGAATCTGAATACACGCTTAAACACTGATTTACGTTAGATTTATAATATAGACTAACGATTGTTGTTCTTTTTACGCATCGAATTTGTTGAAGTAAATCTAACCTTGTTTCTGACTTTTGTTCGTAAATACTGAGAAATGTTTTCCACATTTCAAAGCATTTTCACAAATATTAAATTTTGTAATTGATCATTGTCCACTGGAAAAACAGTACGTTTTTGACAGTTACCATCAGCTTTATTCAAGTGGTTTATCGAGCTTTAACATCTAGTTCTACTTTGCTCGTTAGTTTCTTTTTAAGTCTTTGTTTTTCTAGAACTAAGCTTTTTCTACTCTCTTATAGTTATTAACCTTAATTAAAGTGAGTGGAGAATATGATTTTCGTTTGAAATTTTCACAAAGTCTGATTTTGCACATTTGATACTTTTGTTATTTTAACTGAATCGTCGATCTTGGCTTTAACTGTTTATATAACTTCGAAAAAAGACAAAATTGACTTGAATAGAGAGTAGTTCCTTTGGAGATTCAGTTTATAGTGTTTATACAGATAATTTTTCTGAGCCTATAACCTGATGAATTCAGGATTATGTTTTGTATATCGGCCTAGATACATATAACTACACCATGATAAGTAACATTTTCTAACTCACAACGTAAACATAAGTTATACTATAATTCAATGCCTATAGTACGCTAAAAGTCTGTCTTATGTACACAAAATCTATTGCACAAATGGCATGATTCAACAACATTTATTACGCATATGGTGTGATTTAACGAATTGCGGAAAAACAACTATGTTGTTATTATTGCACAACACGGTGTTTCTTTTTATGCAATATTAAATTATACTCAGTTGTATCATGTTATGTGAACTATACTTCATACTTTCAATTATATCCGTAATTGTTTGGTTCCGACTCTGGCGGCGACAATATTTATTCTTGTCATGGGTCTCCGCCGATAAGGCACAGAATGTTCTAGAAGAGAACCCCACCCCCCGCCGCTGTTACGAGCAAAACCGGCTTTCGCCGCCGGCAATAAAGGCCTACCGCCTCGGGGAGCTAGTATTATTCGATTAATTAGTCATTGACCCAACATCGTACGGGACAGTTCGCAACTCGTGCACGCGAATGTCGGTGCGATTCCGACAACAGGTCGCCGCCTCCTTATGTTTTTTTTTACGTTGCCGTCGGTCTCGATAGCATTACGTATTTACGTCTGTCGTTTGTCGCGTGCGCGATCGTTCGTTTTGTTCTATATATATTATATACGTAACGCGAGTGATTCGTCGTTAGCGTAGGATTGTGACGCAATAAATATATATATATATATGAATATATGGTGCACCGGGCACCAATCCATCAACCGTACGCTCATTTTCAATATTATTCTTTGTTATGATAATATATCGTGCGCGGGTGCGAAGTGCGTCGACCGTTGACGCTTCGAATTTGGTGTCGGATTGCAGTCGCTGGTCAATCATTGGCACGTGGGTTGCGGGGCCCGGCAGACAACAACAGTTCATACAAGTTTTGAAGGTTATGATGTGGTTGGCAGCACGGTCACGGTAACGCGTTATCACTCTGATACGCGATAATTTATATAATATTTGTATCCTATCAATTGTGTAGTTATAACCAATATTATTATTTCACTGTTATTATGTACCTACGTTATTATTAATTGGTTCGATTTAAGTATTATTATAATACATTTTGATTTATATAGTAGGTGGGCGCCTACTCCCCGTATTATAGTATTTGTATTTATAATTTATATTATTATCATGTGTGTGATGTACTGATACGATATTTAATACAGTCCACAATTTATAATTTTTATTAAAACAATCAGGGTATTTGATTTATTACTATTATCCCATATTCTATTGTTTTTTTTTGGTTGTTGTTGTTAAGTACATACGCTACACACATTTTGGTCCTTCGGGCCGGATAATTTTTTGTAATACTTCCTAATTAATTATTTTTCCGTCTTGTCTTGCTTGCTCTTTATTCTTTACAAATTGTGTAATATGGGAAGGCCTAAGCGTCAAGATTCGGACATTGCTGTTGACAGTAAACGGTCGTTAGTTCGTGCTCGTGCGTCGCGGGATGCATCGTTACGGTCGATTAAAAAAATAAATACGTTAGGCGAAGAAGCTAAACTAGATGTTGAACGTCGCGCATTATTTGAGGCTCATCATTTGTCATTGAAACGGTTCGTTGAGCAATTTGAGTTAGAACAACAAGCAGTATTAAATGCTCTTGTTGACTTAAATAATGTAGTCGAGTTTGAAAATGTTAATGCTGTTGTCACTGATACTATGGAGGATGTTTGTGCAAACATTCAACTTATTGCTTCTGGCTTCCATAGCACTTCTGTTAATGTGATTTCAAATAATAATGTTTCTACTGGTGCACGACAGACAGCACAGGCAATTGTTTTACCGAAAATTGAATTGCCAAAATTTGATGGTAATGTCTTGGGTTGGGTATCATTTCGGGACATGTTTCAATCCCTAGTTCATGATAACTCTGATATTACGGACATTCAACGTTACCATTTTTTAATTTTAAGTCTGTCCGGTCCAGCGCTTACAGTAGTGAAAGCGATTCCTTTGACAGCAGACAATTATACCATTGCTTGGAACGCATTAAAACAATCATTTGAAAATCAACGACTATTAGCTTCTGCGCACATTGACAAATTGTTTTCATTTGTGCCATTGAAAAAGGAGTCATTGTCGTCACTGTCCTCATTTGTCCATGTGTTTTCGGAAAATGTTTCTGCTATTAAAGCCCTTGGCGTCAAGGATCTAGCTGGTTTTATTTTATTTCATATTGGTGCTTGGGTAATTGATACAGAGACAAGGAGACTGTTCGAAGCCAGTATTGAGCAAAATTCAGTGCCTAATTTAGATATGTTATTACAATTTGTCTCGCAGAGATGCAAAATTTTAGAAAATGTCGGAACTTCAGTTGCAACTAACGATAAACATGATATCACTTTTAAAAATAGTAGTAAAAAGAACCAAAGTGGGCATCTTGGTAAGACTTCGTTGTCAGTCTCATCTACATCTACAACATCAAAGTGCTTATTTTGTCAGCATGAACATCAGATTTATCGTTGTTTTCTATTTAAACGCAAGCCAGTTACGGTACGGCGCAAGTTTGTAAGTGATCATAGTTTATGTTTTATATGTTTAAAATCTGGCCATAGCTTTAGATCTTGTACTGCTTCCTTTGCTTGTAAAAAATGTGAAGGTCGTCATAACACACTGTTACATCTAGAAAATGATGGTACAAAGAATAAAAGTGAAGTGACACAGAAGGAAGCTTCAGATATTCAGGTCTCTACGTCAAATACAGTTGAAAATAACTCCATGTTCGCAGGTACGATATCGACACAAGCAACTGTAGTGTTAGGTACTGCTGTTGTTCGTATACAAGACGACACAGGTGATACGCATCAAGTTCGCATTTTGTTAGATAGTGGGTCACAGGTGTCGGCCATTACTGCAGATTGTGCCACCAGACTTGGTCTTAAACGCAACAAGAGTCATGTAGAAGTGGTTGGCCTCTCTCAACAGCCGGTGTCCAAGGTAAAGGGTGTTACCCAGTGTGAATTTTTCCCGCTTCAGTCAGATCAACCACTATTTAAGGCAAATAATGTTATTATATTGTCCCAAATTACTGGATTAATGCCAACGTGTTCACTTCCTGCTACTGTTCGCACACGATATCAACACCTAGTACTTGCTGATCCAGAATTTGATCATCCTGGCCCCGTGGACATGTTAATAGGTGGTGATTTATATCCGATGATTCTGCAGCCCAAAGCTGACATTATCCATACGCCTGGATTGCCCTCAGCAATGCACACAAATCTCGGTTGGATAATTGTTGGTTCACTAAGGGATTCTACTTCATTACCTTTGATGTCTTTAACTATTAGTGTAATACCAGTCATAAATGAAACTTTGCAACAATTCTGGAGGGTGGAAGAACCGACAATCCCAGTACACTCAACGACAGAAGATGAACGATGCGAAGAGTGGTTCGGTAAAACAGTGTCACGGGACACATCAGGTAGATTTTGTGTTGCTCTACCTTTTCGATCTGCAATAAACTCACAATTTAATTTAAATGAAGACATGGCTCCGCAGAGTAGTATTGGTTCCTCTCGTACCATGGCCTTAAATCGGTTGTATAATATTGAACGTCGTTTAGCGAAAGATCCTGAGCTATATTCCGCGTATCGTTCCTTTATGAATGAGTATCTGTCTCTCGGTCACATGCGCGTAGCGGATAAACCAGGGAAATATTTCATCCCACATCACGCTGTAGTCAAACGGGAGAACAGTAACATGAAAATTCGAGTAGTCTTTGATGCGTCGGCCAAGTCGTCATCTGGCTTTTCACTGAACGATTGCTTGGCGACCGGTCCAAAATTACAGAGTGACATAACGGATATACTACTTCGAAGTCGTTTCCACAAGTATTTGTTCATCGCCGACATTGAGAAGATGTACAGGCAGATCCGAGTTCATGATGCCGATTGCTTATATCAACATATATTCTGGAGAAATTCCCCCAGTGATGAAGTCCAAGAATTTGAATTATGTACTGTGACTTATGGTGTCAACGCAGCCCCGTTCTTGGCGATTAGATGTTTACACCAGTTGGACATGGAAAATGGGACTGAATTTCCTCTCGCGCAGAATTTATTAGTTACATCAACATATGTGGACGACATTGTAGCAGGTGCTGACACGGAAGAGGAAGCGGTGGAGCTTCAACGTCAAGTTATATCCTTACTACGTAAAGGAGGTTTCAATCTCAAGAAGTGGGCCAGCAACTGCGAAGCACTATTAAAGGATATATCTACTGAAGACCGCGCAATGGACGCACCCTTTGAACTTAAAGACGATCAGTCAGTGAAAGTGTTAGGATTGCATTGGGGTACTACATCAGATGTCTTGGGTTATCATATTAATATCAATAAAGTTAATCCAACCAAACGTTCAATACTCTCAACAATAGCTCGTTTATATGACCCAGTTGGCGCGTTGGGCCCCGTTGTTTTTTGGGCCAAGTGTATCATGCAAGCATTATGGATGCAAAAACTGGACTGGGATACTTCACCACCGATGCATTTAGTTGACAAGTGGAACACATTTATTTCTGAATTTCCCACGCTAGCTCAGATTACACTAACTCGGCACATTGACATCCGATGTTCGAAACAAGTGGAGCTAATAGGTTTCGCCGACGCATCTCAGAAGGGATACGCGGCAAATGTTTATTTACGTGTGGTTGACCAGAGGAATGTTGTTAAGGTCCATTTTATTGCTTGTAAGACCAAGGTTGCCCCATTAAAATGCTCGGATACTGATCCGTCATTAACAATTCCACGGTTGTAGTTGTGCGCCGCATTACTGCTGGCACGCCTTATATCTCACTTGTATACCGTTTTAAGGAATTTTGTCAACATTGATCGTATCCGGGCATGGACTGACTCCACAATAGTTTTGAGTTGGCTTCACACTGACCAAAAACAGTTTAAGATATTCGTCACAAATAGAGTCGCCAAAATCAAGTCATTAACTCCAGGTTGTGAATGGGCTCACGTCAGAACTGTGAACAATCCAGCTGATCCCGCGTCAAGAGGATTACTTCCCTCCGAGCTGATTTCAAACCTTTTACATTTTCAAGGCCCAGAGTTTTTATTGCAACCTGATCATCTATGGCCCGTGTCTACTATCTCCGAGTTAACTTTACCACCGATCGATCAACTCCCTGAGACGAAGTGTACAGCAAATGTTTTACATACACACGAAGAGGAGAGTGGTGAATCAATTATTCAACGATTTTCATCGTTGACAAAAATGCAACGTGTGTTGGCGTACTGTTTTCGCTTCGCCCGTCGTCAAAATAGTCCTAGGATCAACGGACCAATCAATCGGATGGAATACGACCATGCACTGAACGCGGCTATTCTGTGTACGCAAATGAAATATCTGTCGGATCTACATAAACAGGTAAAAAATAAAGGTTCCATAACTCCGTCAACTACAGCACAATTAGCTCCTTTCATCGACGCATTAGGGATCATCTGAGTCGGCGGGAGATTAAAACACGCACGGTTAAATGAAAATGCGAAATATCCAATTCTTTTACCTCAAAAGACTCATCTTACAGAGCTAATCATTCGACACTTTCATCTTATTTCGTTGCACGGAGGGTCACGATTAGTACTTTCAATGATACATCAAAAATTTTGGATCATTTCCGGCCGAGCAGCTGTCCGCAATTTTACTTATTCTTGTGTTCTTTGTACCAGATTCAGAAGTATGAACCCACGACCTTTTATGGGGGATCTGCCAGCTGTAAGACTTGTAGCAAACCGACCATTTTTCAACATTGGGATGGATTATGGTGGACCTTTCATGGTTCGTGAAAGCCGACGTCGCGGTGCACGTACTAAAAAAATATATTTAGCAGTATTTGTATGCATGTCGGTGAAGGCTGTGCACCTGGAGACCGTATCAGATATATCCACTGACGCATTCCTTGCTGCTTTAGACAGGTTCGTCGCTCGACGTGGCATTCCAGATAGCATGTATACAGATTGCGGTACAAATTACGTTGGCGCTGCAAAACAATTGAAGAAATTGTTTGATGAAGTTTCCAATCAGCATACATTATATAATCGTATACCGTGCAAGTGGCATTTTAATCCACCGGGAGCCCCACATTTTGGCGGGATTCTGGAGGCTGCCGTCAAGAGCGCAAAGGCCCATTTGAGGAAGGTGATTGGCGCTCAAATATACACTACCGAGGAATTCACTACGCTCATAACGCGGATCGAAGGTGTTTTGAATTCTCGACCGATGCTACCGCTCTCCAGTGATCCGAGCGACTTAAGCGTGTTGACCCCAGGTCATTTTCTTATTGGGCAACCGTTATTAGCACTTCCAGAAGAGGATGTAGTAGACATTCCCACTAACCGTTTAAATCGTTGGCAATTACTCCGCCAAGCTCTACAGTCCTTCTGGCGTCGATGGAGCAATGAGTATTTGCACACATTACAAGGGAGGCAAAAGTGGTTCAAGCAAGTACCAAGCCTATCGGTTGGCGATCTTGTTGTCATCAACACACCGTCACGACCGGCCATGGCGTGGCAGATCGGTCGAGTTATCCAGGTTCACCCAGGTGCGGATAACATTGTGCGTGTAGTGACAGTCAAGACGCCGGAAGGTATTCTCAAGCGTCCTGTTGTCAAGCTAGTGAAACTTCCAGTTGATCCAAAACCTTAAGAAAGGCTCCCATATTACCAACATATTTTTCCATATTATCCCTTATGCATTGTAATTATTATTCTTTACATTATTATTATTTTGTATTTTGTATTATTTTTTTTGTTTATTGTACCTATAGCATTTTGCTTTTATATATATTTTTTTTTTTTGTTTGTATATTTTATATTGATAGCAAAAAGGAAAGTTTGAAAGCTCGTCGCTTTCAAAGGCGGGAGAATGTTTGGTTCCGACTCTGGCGGCGACAATATTTATTCTTGTCATGGGTCTCCGCCGATAAGGCACAGAATGTTCTAGAAGAGAACCCCACCCCCCGCCGCTGTTACGAGCAAAACCGGCTTTCGCCGCCGGCAATAAAGGCCTACCGCCTCGGGGAGCTAGTATTATTCGATTAATTAGTCATTGACCCAACATCGTACGGGACAGTTCGCAACTCGTGCACGCGAATGTCGGTGCGATTCCGACAACAGGTCGCCGCCTCCTTATGTTTTTTTTTACGTTGCCGTCGGTCTCGATAGCATTACGTATTTACGTCTGTCGTTTGTCGCGTGCGCGATCGTTCGTTTTGTTCTATATATATTATATACGTAACGCGAGTGATTCGTCGTTAGCGTAGGATTGTGACGCAATAAATATATATATATATATGAATATATGGTGCACCGGGCACCAATCCATCAACCGTACGCTCATTTTCAATATTATTCTTTGTTATGATAATATATCGTGCGCGGGTGCGAAGTGCGTCGACCGTTGACGCTTCGAATTTGGTGTCGGATTGCAGTCGCTGGTCAATCATTGGCACGTGGGTTGCGGGGCCCGGCAGACAACAACAGTTCATACAAGTTTTGAAGGTTATGATGTGGTTGGCAGCACGGTCACGGTAACGCGTTATCACTCTGATACGCGATAATTTATATAATATTTGTATCCTATCAATTGTGTAGTTATAACCAATATTATTATTTCACTGTTATTATGTACCTACGTTATTATTAATTGGTTCGATTTAAGTATTATTATAATACATTTTGATTTATATAGTAGGTGGGCGCCTACTCCCCGTATTATAGTATTTGTATTTATAATTTATATTATTATCATGTGTGTGATGTACTGATACGATATTTAATACAGTCCACAATTTATAATTTTTATTAAAACAATCAGGGTATTTGATTTATTACTATTATCCCATATTCTATTGTTTTTTTTTTGGTTGTTGTTGTTAAGTACATACGCTACACACAGTAATAATTAATTTAGGCTCTATAATTTCACATCGAGTAATTGTATATAATATTATCAGTATATTATTATTTATACTATATCATACATATAAGTATATATATTATATATATATATATAAATCAGATATTTGATGCTGATGATCTCAGGAACCACTCGTGGTCTAGTCTTGATTTTTTTTCATCAAATGATAAACTAAATCGCATTTTAAGCATAGTCTTATGCGCCAACACCTGGTTGAAAACCATTTTAACAAGTTCCCAGAACAGGCCAAGGAGTATTATACTCACGCAAACGATTGTAAATGTTGTCAGCACTATCCATATCTAATTGTTAGGAGAGCAGAGTAAAGAGTAGGTCTACATGGGAGATACCATTGTAGCATATAATATTCAGACGTGAACTGTCTGAGTGAGTAGAAGCACCTTCGCACCAGCAGACTCTCTGAAATTTATCCACACAACTATTATTCACCCAGTTTACAGCATGTGATAAACCAATTCTTTTTAATAACCAGCATATCGTTTATAAGTTCCTTACACTTATTCCACCACTGTCTACACATCAGCATCTGCAAAAAGCGATGACAGACATAATAAAAAAATAAGAATCATTGTATAATCAGTACATTCATTGCTCCGCTCAGAATCTAAAAGAAATCTTGTGAATATATATAAAAACTAATGTCATGCATCAAGTTAGGATATTCAAACATTCAAAAGTAAAGATTTTGTTTTTTACAGATAGTGTTTTGAATTAACATTATATAGGTAAGTAAAATAACTGGAAACGTGCATTAAGCTATGTAGATATTTTAGGTTAAGTAAAATAAGAGACCATAATAATAATAAGAGACCATGTATGATAAAATTATAATATTATAATATATACTATTAGTATTTATTACTTATTACTATTTATAAAATTATAATTATGTAATTCTTGGAATTTGATCATTTTTCATCGTTTTTATTTTTCGATGTCACAAATACAAGAAAAGTTCTTATTGCTTATAGTTAATTATTTCAAACTTGTATTTGTTATATCGTAAAAATAAAAACGATGTTGCACGGTAAAAGTTTTCGTGTTTATATTATGAAACTTTGGTCGCTTATCTTGGACTACAGCTTGAGTGGTTCAATTTCGCTCAAAACAGTTGTTGATATGTTGTAGGTTTGTAAGACGGAGACAACACATGCGGGTGTAGCGTCCTCTTAAAACACAAACAAAATTACATTATTTATTATAAGTTAGGCATACATTTGTGGAGCATTGTTAAATATTCTTGAAAGATCCAACTAGAATAATTAACTTGAAACTGTAAATAAACAGACAATAATACAATTTATAATACATAACTGTTTAATTGATTGTTATAGATAGTTAAATAGTTAAATATCGAATAATAATAATACATATAAGTTCATATATTTTATTTATTTAAAATGTATAGGTACCTCCTTATTATTATTTTAATAATCTTTTCCATACAACTAATGCGCTTTTTTGGGTTGTATAATTATTTTTAAAGGATCTTGTAACTAAATAAATTGTATTTGGTAGGTAACGTTATATCCTGTTGTTAATATGTATGATTTGCATATGCTCTAGTAGAATATAATATTTAATCATTTTTAACACACAATATTGAATAATGATAAGTAGAAGCAGAAATAACATTGTCTTAAAATAGCCAAAATAAGATGCTAATATTCTATTAAAAAGTTGAAAATATTCTTGGTTAAGTCAGTCAAGTAAAATCTAAAATAAAATTAATAATTTTTTTTTTTTGCTAATTATAAATGTATTTTTATGTTGTTTTAATTTTATTTAAGTTTACGTAAAAATATAGAACCATAAAAAAAAAGTTTCATGGAATCAGGGGGGTATAACAAGTATATGGGTATATTTTATCTGTAAATATGATAGTAGGAACAATATATAATATATATATATTATAGACAATACAAAATGTGGTCAGAGGCTGGAGTTAAATGCATATAAATAATGGACGCAAGTAAGATTTAAGTGGAGAAATTCATGTTTTGGGGAAATGTCTTATATGTTTGTTATGATGGTAATGCAATACCCAGCATTAGATAACCGTAATGGTCTCCAAACATAGGGCCAAGAGGATTGGGTGAACGTATTATTGTAGAATAGCAGACAAAAAGTATCAAAATACAAAATATCTCAGCAGACAAAATAATATATTAAATAAATTGATAACTAAATAATTTTAGTTTATGAATTGTTTTTATTAGTATAAAAGGGAAATATCTTAAACGTTTAAATAGTTTGGTGGTTGGGTATACATTTTGTGATGACGAAAACTGCAATAAAAATAAATAGAATCAGAATTTTAGGTAGTTTTGAATGCAAAATAAGTAAGAGATATTAAAATTAATAATTCTAAGTTTCATCTGATTATTATAATCAATAAGTTGTAGACTACCAATGATTTAACTAAAATATAAGTAACATCTATGTTAAATCTCTATTCAGTGTATCAAAAAATCCCTACCTTTTTATTGTGAAATCGCATATACAATTTTTTAACTTTAACGATATTTCTTTGGTTCCTAGTCATATATTTTTTTCTTTTGATTTGTGATCTACAGTACCACTTTCATTTTGCATTCGTTTTTTTGTAATGATTATAATGATCATATCAATAAAAATAAAATGCTCTACGTACATATGTATTTAATTTAATATAAACGTATTGAATTTAAAAAAAGACCATCTACCAACGCTAGAAAGGATATGGAAATGGTATACGTGGAAATGGTTTCATTGATCGATACAATCTAAACTTAACATATATTATATTAATATACATTTTGCTTTATGGTTCCGTATACCCTTTGTGCACATTTACATGGTGATACGAAGCGGTGATATACGATTCTTATTTTTAGACATTAGTAGACTGATTTTTCGTATATTTGTATGATGGTTCATTTTGTATTTCTGTTGCATATGTAAGTATGTATTTCCGTGGCAATTTGGCTCTACTGCAGGGTTTCAAATGATTGAACGCAATACTTTTGATTTAATAAATTATTTTTATTTTAATTGTTAAAACTTTTCTGTGTATTATATTAGATATGATGTCATCATTTGGTACCAAAATAAATTGTCTTTTAATAGTTCCAACCCGAGATAATCCAACATATTATAATTTCCTATTGGAAAAACACTGCTGTCTCTGGTCAATACACACCAGAGAGAATGTTTGACCTTAAGACTTATTAATAGTGATTGCGAAAGAGATCTTGACGGGATACTGTAATCCTTCTAAACGGAATAGGCAAATACTGGAATTAGGTGCATCGGAACATGGGTATCCATGAAACATATGGTGCAATAACAACTGGTGCATGCAATATTCTCCAGAATTCTAATTAATAAAATTAATTTGTTGAAAATGAAACTTTTTGTGAAGGTTTTTGATTGGTTCGTTTTTGTCAACACTATGTTGGACTCAGGTGGTCTGTAATCTCTCACACTAGACTCGCATAAATATAACTTTAATAATGTTATTTGTAGGGCTCGGATGTTTATGCACTTAAAACTACTGTAATATGCATGCATTTATGCACTAAAAAATTACGAAATATGCAAACAAAATATGCGCTAAAAATTATAAAATATGCATTTTTAGTCAATAAAAACACCAAAATATGCACAAAAAAATGTATTACAATTCATAAAACAAAAATTAGTTAGTTCATTATATTACATTATTAAATTATCAGCGTTACACTGTGATACA